ATAGGCGGCCGCAAGCGTGGCAAGCCGCGCAAGGCACGCAGAGACGCCTAGGCTGGGGCGCGAGGATGTGCCGAGGGTGATGCCCGTGGAGGCGCCCAGGGCGGTGCCACCGGCAGGCACAAGCCGGCACGAGACGACACCTGCCGCAACTGCGGCCAGCTTGGCCATTGGGCCAAGGACTGTCGACAGCCACGACGCGGCCAGGCCCACGTCGCACAGGCGGAGGAGGAACCGGCTCTGTTCATGGCACATGCCAGCATCGAGCTACCTCCAGCGGCACCGGCCGCAGCGGTTCTCCTCCACCTTGACGAGCCAAAAGCACACGCCCTCCTCGGCGACGGCTCCGGCAACGACAAGACTGACGGGTGGTGCCTCGACACCGGCATCACCCATCACATGACCGGTCGATGGGAGTTCTTCACCGAGCTTGACTCTAGCGTCCGAGGCTCCGTCAAGTTTGGGGATGCCTCCGGCGTGGAGATCAAGGGCGTCGGCTCCGTCATCTTCACCGCCGTGTCTGGTGAGCACAGGCTGCTCACCGGAGTCTACTACATCCCCGCGTTGAGGAACTCCATCATCAGCTTGGGACAGCTGGATGAGAATGGTTCGCGCGTGGTGGTTGAGGATGGAGTCATGAGGATTTGGGATCGCCGTCGCCGCCTTCTTGCCAAGGTATCCAGAAGCGCAAATCGACTCTACATCCTTAACGTGCAGGTGGCACAACCCCTCTGTCTCGCTGCTCGTCGGGATGACGAGGCGTGGCAGTGGCACGAGCGCTTCGGGCACCTTCACTTCGAGGCCCTGAAGCGGCTCAGTGCCACGGAGATGGTGCGAGGCCTGCCGTGCCTCGACCATGTGGAGCAGCTCTGCGACGTCTGCGTGTTGACGAAGCAGAGGCGACTCCCCTTTCCACAGCGGGCTAGCTTTCGAGCCAAGGAGAGGCTCGAGCTTGTGCACGGGGACTTGTGTGGCCCGGTGACACCGGCCACACCGGGAGGACGACGCTACTTCCTGCTGCTCGTCGACGACCTCTCCCGCTACATGTGGGTGATGGTCCTCGGCAGCAAGGGAGAGGCTGCGGACGCCATCAGGCGCGCGCAGGCTGCTGCGGAGGCGGAGTGCGGCCGCAAGCTGCGCGTGCTGCGCACCGACAACGGCGGCGAATTCACGGCGGCTGAATTCGCGTCGTACTGCGCTGACGAGGGCATTCAGCGCCACTACTCCGCGCCGTACAGCCCGCAGCAGAACGGCGTCGTCGAGCGGCGCAACCAGACGGTTGTGGGGATGGCTCGGGCCCTCCTCAAGCAGAGGGGGATGCCGGCTGTCTTCTGGGGAGAGGCGGTGGTGACGGCCGTCTACATCCTCAACCGCTCGCCTACCAAGGCGCTCGACGGCAGGACACCGTACGAGGCTTGGCATGGGCGCAAGCCGGCGGTCTCCCACTTGCGGGTCTTCGGCTGCCTCGCGTTCGCCAAGGAGCTTGGCCACATCAGCAAGCTCGACGACAGGAGCACTCCGGGAGTGTTCATCGGCTACGCGGAGGGCTCGAAGGCCTACCGCATCCTCGACCCGAAGACACAGCGTGTGCGCACGGCGCGCGACGTTGTGTTCGACGAAGGGCGAGGATGGGCGTGGGACAAGGCGGTGGACGACGGCTCGGCTCCGACGTACGACGACTTCACTGTCGAGTACGTCCACTTCGAGGGAGCTGGGGGAGTAGGCAGCTCTTCTTCGGCGAGCGCGTCTACCCCAGTCCCCGAGCCTCCACCGACCCCGGCGCCTGCTACTCCGACAGCACCACACTCTCCAGCCAGGACCTCGGCTGCGATGAGTTCTTCGCCGGCTCCACTACAGCCGGCAACGCCGCGCACTCCAGCACCGACAGGCACCACTCCGGGCATGTCTACTTGTCTACTCCACCACCAGCTCGTGTCGAGCATGACCCGGTTGAGCTCGCTACTCCGCTCTCTCATGGCGAGGAGCGTGTCGACGCGTACCACGACGGCGAGCCGTTGCAGTACCGTACGATGGAGAACCTTCTCGGCGACCAGCCGGTGCCGGGACCGGTGCCTCACGACCTGGAGGCGCAGTTGCACCTTGCGTGTGACGACGGCGAGCCTCGGTCGTATGCAGAGGCCGAGAGACACGCGGCATGGCGCGCCGCGATGCAGTTGGAGATGGATGCGGTCGAGAAGAACCGCACCTGGGAGCTTGCTGACCTTCCTCGTGGTCACCGCGAGATCACCCTTAAGTGGGTGTTCAAGCTGAAGAGGGATGAAGCCGGTGCCATCGTCAAGCACAAGGCTCGCTTGGTGGCACGAGGTTTCGTGCAGCAGGAGGGGTTGACTTCGACGACGCCTTTGCTCCCGTGGCACGGATGGAGTTCGTGCGACTCCTCCTTGCGCTAGCTGCCCAGGAGGGCTGGCGTGTTCATCACATGGACGTCAAGTCGGCGTTCCTTAACGGCGACTTGAAGGAGGAGGTCTATGTGCACCAGCCGCCAGGATTTGCGATCCCCGGCAAGGAGCGCAAGGTGCTCCGCCTGCGCAAGGCCCTCTATGGCTTGCGGCAGGCACCAAGGGCGTGGAATGCCAAGTTGGATTCCATGCTAAAGGGGATGGGCTTCGAGCAAAGCCCGCACGAGGCGGCCATCTACCGACGGGGCAGTGGAGGAACTGCTCTGCTGGTGGGTGTCTACGTCGACGACTTGGTGATCACCGGCACCAAGGATGCGGAGGTGGCGGCATTCAAGGAAGAGATGAAGGCCACCTTCCAGATGAGTGACCTGAGGTCTCTCTCCTTCTACCTGGGCATCGAGGTGCACCGTAATGACTCGGGATCACACTTGACCAGACCGCCACGCCAAGCGTGTCGTTGAGCTAAGCTGGGCTCACCGATCGCAACCCAGCTCTCACTCCGATGGAGGAGAGGTGAAGTCGAGCATGCGACAAAGACGACGGAGGAGGTGGACGCTTCGCAGATCGCGGCGTCTTGTGGGGAGCCTTCGCTACCTCGCCCACACACGGCGGCGGACTTGGCATTCTCCGTCGGCTACGTTAGTCGGTTCATGCAAATGACCGACGATGGAGCACCAAAGAAGTGTGAAGAGGATCATCCGCTATGTTGCGGGGACTCTCGACCATGGCCTCTACTACCCGAGGTGCCACAGGCGGCACACTTCCGTCGGGTATGCGACAACGACCACGCCGGCGACATCGACACCAACAAAAGCACGAGCGGGATCCTCTTCTTCCTCGGCAAGTGCCTCGTTAGGCTGGCGATCGGTCAAGCGGCAGTGGTGGCCTGTCCCAGCCATGAGGCCGAGTACATAGCGGCCTCCACCGCTTGACTCAGCGCCTGCTCCCTCGATCGCTTGGTGATCTCCTCGGCAGAGACACTAGAGCGGTGGAGCTCAGGGTGGACAGCAAGTCCGCTCTGGCCCTGGCAAAGAACCCCGTGTTCCACGAACGCAGCAAGCACATCCGGGTGAGGTACCACTTCATCCGAGGCTGTTTGGAGGAAGGGAGCATCAAGGCGAGCTACATCAACACCAAGGACCAGCTTGCGGACCTGCTCACCAAGCCCCTTGGGAGGATCAAGTTCTTTGAGCTCTGCTCCAGGACCGGGATGGTTCAACTCTCCCACAAGACGACGCACAAGACTTAGGGGGAGAATGATGGATAAGTCTCATGTGTGGTCTTTGTGGGGCTGTACTGCTCACATGGTCCTTGTGGCTGTTTTTCTGCTTTTAGGACAGCATCTTAGACTAGAGGACAGCAGGACAGCATCTTAGAGGACAGCATCTTAGACTAGAGGACAGCATCTTAGCTAGGACAGCATATTAGCATATCAGATTATCATCTTGGCATATGCTTGGCTAGCTAGCAGCCTATAAATATGTAACCCCAACCCCTCAGGTTGGCATGGCATTTTGAGTAAGAAATAGACAAGAAAATTGCCCCAACTGCTAGTGTCATCCTCTCTCGATGAGAGTAAGAATTCTCCTACTACCAAAAGTGAGAATTCAGCGACTAACAGATTTGACTTTGTAGGATTCTTGGAATGATGACTTATAATATGGGATGGAGGGAATACCTGCCAATGTATATCTGCTAGTGACAATGCAAATGTACCTTTCCTGTTCTGATTACTCATAATTTTGTCTACACTTGTGAACTGGAAGTTGATCATCACTCTGTTGTACTGCTAAAAGAAAAAAAACTAGTCCATATTTTCAAGTTTTTCCTTGTCTTTGTGCCCTTAATTAGCCTAGGTGTCATGGCATGGTCGGTTGCAGTATGATATGATTTAGGGTTCGTTCTTGCATTTGAACTATGGCTGGATTGCTACATGAGATTACAGAGAAGAATTTAGTTTTCGTTGTCAATGAATTGAGTTGTCAGTTTGCCTTCAGCGGAATGAGATGTGCTAGACTGCTTGTCAAAATATTGCTGCATTGTTTTAGCATGCTGGCCTGACTGTATTTCTTATAAAAAAACTTGTGCTACTTGCTGGACTATGGCAGTAAAGTTGTATTGCTTCTTTGTTTAGGACCATTAAGGCATACATGTTATCTTGGTAAGAGAGGTTTATACGTATCACATGGAAAGTGAACTAAAACTCTAGTAGTATAGTTATCAGTTATTTATTTACCTATAGTTTATTCTTTATCCTTAAAAGTCAGCGTAGCGTCAATTTGGATTGTTTGGGTGTGCTTACTATTGGTACTTTAAGCCTGTGTTCAATGGATATATGATATTGCTTTTCTCCACTGAATTGCAGGACATTTTAACATCGCCAAAGCCACCTTGAAGTGCACCGATCGTGTACTGTTCGAGTCACTGTTACAGAGCTTTCCCATCAGCCTGTTCGTTTGGCTGTGGCTTGTCGTAAACGATCGTAAATTTTCAGCCGGAACAGTATTTTTCTCTCACACAAACCAGTCAGCAGTATTTCTTCACGAACCAGCAACGAAACGAACCAGCCAACCGAACAGGCTGATGACAGCAGCGGAGCAACAGGAGCAATTGATGGTGCTCGCAGAGGAGTATCAGCAAGAGTACCCACAACATAACTCCCAAGCTTTGTTAGAGATCTCTAAACAGATCCTTGGTTTGCTCGCATTCTTGGATCTACATGACAAGAAGAGGATGCTAACATCTGAAGGTAACCTCTAGTCATTGATGGCAATAATCTTTGTGCGAATAATATATTGACATTCCTATGTTGTATTGAATTAGATCTTAGTGCTATATCAAATGATCGGAGCAGAATCCTTAAGGTACTCAAGGGGCAGAGGCGTAAATTCAGAGATTCTATTGACAGGAGGTCACTTCTTGGAGCGGAATTCGTCGATTTCCTGAGTCTTCGAGGTACTAAATTTGTGAAACATTTATGCGCTACACTATATAAATGTGATGAGAAAAATGTTTTCAATGTTAGAAAGTGCAGTTTTACATCAGGACACACTTAAAACTGCACCTATAAGGTCAATTCCTCTCGTTACTTATGTAGCTATAACTCTCAACCTCCCGACTGCTAGCAATTTCTGAAACTGAAAAGTGGCCCTTGCAAGCACCTAACCTAACCTAGGGCTCTGACCGACCAAACTGTTTGTTGATGCTCAGGCCTACGCATGTTGCCGATATATCATTCGCCAACCCAGAAATGTTCTTAATGTTTTGGATGGGTACATGAGAAATGTTCTTAATGTCTTGTATCGTTTTCCAGGTTGCAACATGGATGCAAAACCAAAAGACTGATCCCTTTTTCCCGCAAGAGTGTTTCGACCCAAGAAGACTGTTCATGTTTCTTGAGTAAATTGCTATGTATGAGAAAAATTACCACGGTGTTACTCTCTTTTGTCTTGGACATAGGAAAAGTAGGCAGAACTCTATGTTGCTTAGGCCTCACCCGCACATTGGGTTATGTTTGCCACGGAATTTGATATCTAGTTGTAGATGTCTATAAGAGGGGAGTATGCTACTGTGTTATTGGCTTCGGAAAAGACTGAAAGAATGCTGGGCAGAGACTGCCTGCTGTTAGTTGTTCATGCCCATCTACATGCTTTATGCTTGCCTAATTGGCAATGTGGTTCTTTCTTGCTATTGTTTTGGTTTGCCATGGAAGGGAACGTTAGGGTGCTCTTTCGGATCACAACTCTTGTTGGAACAGGTGACCAAAAGCTAGTGCTGCTAATCTGTGTCTTGGTCCATCGGATTCCGGGCAGAGCAGACACACAGCAGAGAGGCCTGGTTTGGGATTGTATTGTTTATTATCCATGCATGCACTGGATCATCCTGTCCTGTTGCTTTTCTGGTTCCTGACTTGGGCCTTGTTTAGATTGCCTCAAAATTCCAAGTTTTTTCACTCTCTCTATCACATCAATTTTTTGACGTATGCATGGAGCATTAAATATAGGTAAAAAAAAATTAATTACACAGTTTGGTTATAAATTACGAGACGAATCTTTTGAGTCTAGTTAGTCCATGATCGGACAAAGTTTGTCAAATACAAACGAAACGTGCTACAGTGTCCAGATTGTAAAAATTTGCAATCTAAACCAGGCCTTTGCTCCCTCTAGCACACAAGAGCTTGAGGCGACAGTCAGCCGAAGATGCAGTGCTCAACTCCTGATGGAATGGAAGGCGTGAGAGCAAAAGCAGTACGTGTCCTCGAGCTTGAAATTAAGACATGAGTTGTCTAGGGTTCACATTTCAAGGCGTCGTCATTAGTTGTCTTACGATAAAATTAAGACACTGGGCTGTTTTTGTGTGCTCGAGCCTCTACCGATGAAACACAATCCATGAGTAAAGCGGTTGCTTAGATGGTTAGTGGTAATGGGGGTGGACAGGTGGTGGTCGTGTCTCGTGTCTCTACATGTGTTAACACGCCTCCGTATCTTGCTAATACGTGTTTGAAAACAAAGGTAAAATTTACTAGTATGACTTTTTTAACAACACAATCTGTCGGACATACTCCTTCCGTCCCTAAATAACTGTTGATTTTTCAATTTTATACCGTAATTTGACTAGATTTGTAGAAAATACGTGCAATATTTGTATTTCCAATTAAATTTATAAATGGACTTAACGATCTATATAACACTCAAGCTCTATCCGAAATTATAAATTATTTTAATAATATTGGAGAGCCAAAACATCTCAAGTTTGACCAAATTTATATGATAAATAATAACATTTATGATACCAACTAAGCGTCTTTATATTTATTCTTTATTAATTATATTTTCATAGTATATCTATTCTACTCATAAATTTTTGTAGTTCTTTGTATAAATGTAGTCAAACTTGAGATGCTTCGATTCACTAAGATAAAATTCTTGGAGTGACTTATATCTTAGAATGGAGGGAGTAATATTTATTTTGTACTATAAATATTATTACTTTTATATATTTAGTCAAAGTTGTTTTTTAAAAACTATATCTGGTTATTTAGGTGTGGAGGTGGTATGTTCCATTTTTTCTTCTTTACTTGTTTTGATTTAGACCGTCTGATCTTGGTCCAGAACACTAGAATGCGTGTCGGTCAGGTGACTCATCAAAGATTGAAGACATCAACACACAAGTGTGTTTGTCCAAACACACACACACACATACACACAAGTGTAGCCTGATCCCGTTCTCCGATCCGAGGGCCAATCACCGCCGCACCGCCGCACCGGCGCGCCACCGCCTCTCCAGCCTCCACCCGATCATCCCCGAGCGGCGCCTCCGTCTTGTCTCCTACCGACGCTCGGGTTTCCCACCGGACACATCCCGGCTTGCCTCCGCCGCCGCCGGCGGCGGCCTGCATGCCGTCTGTCACGTGTCAAGCAACGTTGCCTCGCTCCTTCCCATCTTCTGCCGCCGTAGCTACTGTGAGCAGGTACCCTAGGACCGAGTCTCCGGGCGAGTCTGTGAGCCGCGCCTATAGTTTTTGCGTTTTTTTGCGTCGTGGTTCTAATTTCACCCCCAAATGATTTAGGGATACAGAAGAGGGAGGGAGAAGATGTCATCGAAGAAGAAGAACAAGGAGAAGATGATGCGGCGGAAGTAAGCGCTCCACAGCACATTTGCTTTTTTATTTGTTCTGCGCATTTCTTTGCGCCGTGTGGTTGGGGATTGGACAGTAGAATTAAGGGATCTGTTTCTTTCAAAGAAGGAACCAACTGTAGTTAGTCCTTGTCAAATCATCCCCCAATTATAGCTGCCTTCATATTCGTGCAAGCAGGTTTTAAATGAGGCTGGACAGGGGACAACTTATTTGTGTTTCATATGTCTGAAACTTATTATGCAGAAAAAATCATCAGTGACTGAAACCACAGCTCTAGATGGCACTGTTGATTTCTTACTGTTGCTGTAACACGATTACATGAATGTCTGGAACTTAAAATGCATCCACGGCTGTTGTTGTAGCTTAACCCTCTAGTCACCTAGTCTATCTGCTACATTACTTGGATTTACCTTCACCATTTGGATAGAATTCATACAGTATTTCAGCCTTTTAGGATATATGTACCAGAATCTGTAATAATCATGTTAAAATAGTAACTGATATAGACAAATTAGATGCAAACAAGGACTCATGTTACTTACTGTAAACTCATGTTGCTTACTGTAAGTGATCTGCCGAATCTAAATACCTCTTGTTTTCCATTCAGAGAGGAGAAGAAAGAAGAACCAGAAACACCCAGGTATTGTGATCATGCTAAGGAGTGTCGTGAAGATCAAAACCCAGATTATGAACCTACAGAACTTGGTTCATTTGATGCAGTGGTACCTCCTGGGACTGATTTGTGGTAATAGATCCGGGTTGTTTGTATTTTGCTTTATATTTTGTCTCTTGTGGTCCTTGGTGGTAGTCGAATTCTGCGCGTGTTTAGTTGGAGGGAATTTTGGAATTTGGCTACTGTAGCACTTTTCATTTTTATTTGGCAATTAGTGTTCAATCATGGACTAATTAGGCTCAAAACGTTCGTCTTATAATTTCCCACTAAACTGTGTAATTAGTTTTTTTTTCGTCTACATTTAATGCTCCATGCATGTATCGCAAGATTCGATGTGATGGATACTGTAGCACTTTTTGGGAAGTTATTTTAGAACTAAACACGGGCTCTATGGGGTTCCTTGTCATGGTATTTAGAATCTTCCTCTGTTTTTATTCGCAGGTCTACTATGTCCTTTGTAATCTGTGTAATTCTTGTATCGCAATGATAAATGTAAAAAGTTTCTTGTTCTGTCTTGTCTTGATACTTGGCGCGTGTTTAGTTCCAGAAATTTGGAATTTAGGGCTATTGTAGCACGTTCGTTTTTATTTGGCAATTAGTGTTCAAACATGGACTAATTAGGCTCAAAACGTTCGTCTCGTAATTTCCCACCAAACTGTGCAATTAATTTTTTTTCGTCTACATTTAATGCTCCATGCATAAGCCGCAAACATTCGATGTGACAGATACTGTAGCAACATTTTAGAATTTGGGTCCAACTAAACACGCGCCTGTTCTCTTTGTGGCCACGAGTTGTTTCTTCAATTCTGAGCTGTATGGTCAGTTGCTGGTTGCTGTGCTTGTTGTTGTACTGTTTGTTGAGTAGTTTTAATGCATGTCCTCTCGGTTTGTACCATGATGTGGAATATTCCTTTGAATATGCTCTGTTCTGTTCTTGGGAGGTACTTCCCTCCGTTTTCATTTATTTGTCACCAATTTTTTACTGTAGCAGATTTGACCAATCATTTTTTTCTTCTAGAAAATCTTAGATACATCAAAGTATATAACATTAATCAAGTATGTAAAATGAAGAATTATATATGTCAAAACTTGATGTATCTAAAAATCTTTTGCAAAAAAAACGCATAGTCAAAATTACTACAGTAAAAATTCGGTGACAAGTAAATGAAAACGGAGGGAAGTACTGCTTTTTAGTGCTGATCTAGTCATGCTTGTCCTCTTTCTGTAGTGGCTCACATGCTTGTCCTTTTGGAGCTCTTGTTCCTTTATGGACTCGGTGTATGTGCGTCTGAGAGTGTGAAGGTGAGCACCTGCTCTGTTCTGTGCCATTTTCGTGCAGTTTGGTGCAGGGAATTGATGCCGGGTTGTTGAGGCAGATCAAGCTTTCGACTTGGAGAGCCTATGCGTCACTCTGCCACCTATAGCAATTTTGGATGTGCGTCCTTCCTTCGGAGCGAACACATTCGGGTTGTTTTATCCTACTTTATAATATTGAATCTTGGAGGAGGGGTTGTAGCCTTGCATTTCACCGGGTTCTTTGCTGCCGCGCTGAATGATTTTCTTTGTTTTCTTTGTCGAATTCATCAGATCTTGTACTCTGTTGTAATCCAGTATCTTCTTGACCAGTGTAATGAAAAAATAAGATTGTTTCTGCTGTGATCCAGGTTGTTCTTGTATCTCCTGAGTTGTATATTTCATCAGTACTTTTTCTGTAAGAGTGTTATAGTCCGACTTGTTGTGTTCTTCTTTCTCTGTTGCTTCCTTGTGAATGGATGATTCTGACATCTAGCCGTTATGGTCTTGTCGATGTTTTACCACCAATAGCCTGCCATGGGGGTACCTGGGACAGTTGTTCGGGCTTCGGCGAATAGTGGAACTCGGCAGTTACGCAAAGAGACTCACGATTTATACTGATTCGGGCCCCCGATTTGGTCGAGTAATAACCTTACGTCTAGTTCAGCGTTAGCCTATTTGCGTCGTATTGCTTTGAGTATTGGGTATGCGTTGTCTTGTTTACAAGGGGTATTCTCACCAGCCCTTTATAGTCCAGGTGCTGAGAGGAGTTGTTTGTGTCCTACTCGGATACAAGGTCAGAGTCTTAAGCTATGCTTCGGACGCCTTTCCTTGTATAGTCCGAGTTGGAGTTTTTGGTCTTGCTCGTTGCTTTGCTCCGTGTTCTTCTTGGCGATTGGGCTGTGGGCCTTGTTACCAAGGCCCACTTTCCTATAGTACGGTCTATGGGGGGGCCGTAGGGTTCCCCATCGACAAGCCCCCGAGCTTTTCATGATTGAGCTTCAAGGGCCGAGTTGTTGTAGACTTGATCCGGGTTCTTCTTGAAGTGAAATCTTGATATGCTCTTCTTTGATTCTTCTTTTGACTGATGTGCACTTTTGCTGAAAAAAGTGCACTCAGTGAGTGTAGCCCCCGAGCCTCTTATTATTTGGCACAAAAAGCTAGAGGGTCTTTTCTGTCTTGATGTCCTCCGAGTTCTTTTTCCTTTGAGTGCAGCAAGTGCAATTTTGCAAAAAATTGCACTCATTGAGTGTAGCCCCCGAGCCTCTTGTTTTTTGGTACAAAAAGCTGGAGGGTCAAAAAATTAAAAATATACTTTTCTGTGGTGGGTACTTGCAGCCCCCGAGCCTTCTCTGGGTTCTTTTCTGTTGAGAAGAAGCCGATAGAAGGTTCTTGATTTGTACTCCTTTGGTCTTTGTCGTTTGCTGGTCACGGATGGGTTCTGTATACCCATGATTGAGCATCTTCTTTTACTTTTTGTCAGGAATCTTACTTTTGAGCACTATTCGCCTTTGTTACTTTGCTCTTTTGTTCTTTTCCTCTTTCTTTCTTGTGATCTTTAGCCTTGCTTGCCTCCGGCTTGCTATAAATACATTCTTTGTTGGTTGTGGTTCTGCCTTGAGTTGGAAATTTCTTTTTCAATTCTTTCTTCATTCGTAGATATGCTGGTGTGTGAGATTGAGCAGCCCCTGGGCTTTTGTATACTTGATAACTTTCGCGTTGGTAGTTGGAAGAGTTCTTGTGAAAGGGGTTAGAAGCAGACTAATCCCTCGAGGAGATTTTCCTGAGAAGTTTGAGGGGGCAGGTAGAAGAGTCCTTGTGATGTGGCTTCCATGCTTGCTCTATCTGCCTTTCAATCTTCGGGTTGACGCTGTTGCTGGTCTTTGGTTGGGAGATGTGGCGCGCTCCACTTTTTTGGTGATCGATGCTTGCACCTAACTCCTGCTAGCTGACCCTGAGCTGGAAGTGACCATATCGGTGTGCTCGTCCAGGATGTGGCTGTCTCCCGTCCACACCCTAGGATTTGCTTCATCCTCTATAGTTGTAGTGTATCTGGGTTGTGTTTATTCTGCTAGGTATTAACCAGGGTTCTCCTGTTCTTTACCACGGTGATTCTATTGTGGCCTTGGTTTTATCTTTGTATTTTGTGACTTGTGGTCTTTTGTAGTAATCGACTTCCTCAGGGTTCCTTATCAAGGTATTTAGAGGCTCCTTCTTATTGTCATTCTGTAAACCGTGTAATCTTGTATCCTTGTAATTGAGAAGATGAATGTATTCCCCAGTTCCGTTTTGTCTTGATGCTTGCTTTTCTTGTGATGATGAGTTCTTTTCTGGGTTCTAGGTTGTTTCTTTGTCCGATCCTTGCTGCTGTTAATCTGGCTGTTGAAGAATTCAATGCATGTCCTCACGGGTTGTACTGTTGCTGTGGCATATTCTCTTGGATATGCTTTATCTTGTACTGTGATTGTTCTGGGTATGTGCTGTTCCCTCGTGGTAGTCTGGTCATGCCTGACTTTTACTGCAGTCTTTGTGACTCATGAGGATTGTCCTTTTAGAATCTTATTTTTTCCTAGACTTGGTGTATGTGCACCTGTTGTTGCTCTATAAATACTTGTCGGTCTGATGCTTCTTGTTCTTGTCTCGCTTGTAGTCTCCTCTTCTATTTCCTTGTAACCATGTGTATTATAGTTTGCGAACTTGATGAGCCCCCGGGCTTGTTCTCTCTCTTCTATCCCTTCTGTTAACAAATGGTGTAGGTCTTGTGATTGAGACTAGTAGCAGGCTAGTCTCGAGGTGGTATTTAGCTGTAAGGGGCATTGAGGCAAATGGTGTAGGACTTGTGATATAGGTGGTGCATGTTGCACTGCATGGTGTTCAAGTGCCTGCCCTCTATCCTTTTTGCTCTCCTTACAGTGATGATTGGCGCGTGGTCCAGCTTGTTCTTTGACAGTCCGTTGTAGATCAGCCATTGTTCTGTCTTCTGCTGTGCCATTGTGGCTCAGTCCGGTGCAGATCAACACGTGTTGGGAGGAGGTGCCGAGTTCTTTTGTCAATCTTGGATGACTTGTGGGTGCCGCCTCTGCCACCTATAGCAATCTGGATGTGCGTCTTTCCTTTGGAGAAAAGTACGTCCGGGTTGTTTTTATCCTGCTTGGCAATATCGAATCTTGGTGCGGAGGGTTGCAACCTCAAATTCCACTGGGTTCTTTGCTGCCACTCTAGAATAATCTCCTTTGTTTTCTTTGTTGAATTTATCAGATCTTGTACTCTGTTGTAATCTCAGTGTTCTTCCAATCAAAGAAATAATGAATAAGATGGTTTCTGCTGGAGGTCGAGTTGTCTGCCACTATGTCCGAGTTCTTCTCTGTATTTGCCTTCTTTGGCTGTAGTGTAGTGTTGTTACCGACTTGTTGTATCCTTTTTATACGTTGTTTCCTTGTGAACGGTTTTGGCATCTGATCGTTGAGATCTGAATGGACCGTTGCTTTCCTTTTCTGTTATGCATGCCATTGATTGCGGAACGGTAATTTTTGGTAACAGTTTCATTTGGGTCGTGTGGGCCGTGTATTTTTCCCTTTATAAAAATGACGACCCTGTTACTGTTGCTGTCACTTGCCTTTGCGGTGAAAAATTCCCCAATCCTCGTTGCTGAGAAAACCCTAACATTGCATCCGCCGCCTCAAATCTCTTGCTGCTGCTGCTACTGCATCTGGCCCTTGCTTTTGATTGATGGTGAAGAAGAACAGGGGCAAGGGTGAGTTTGTTGACGAGGAGAAAGCTCTCAAGCAAATTGACAATCCTGAGTTCATGGCCATGAGGCGGATGCAAAGGCAGTTCCCGAAGCCATCGATGCAGGAGGCAGAGCTGGACTTGCTGGTTGCCCATGGGCTCATTCAAGAGAAATTTCTTTCTAATTTCTCTTCCCCTGGTGAGCATTTGATTCTGTCTCCTTCTCCTGATCAGTCTGTTCTTTTTATTCCTTTTGTGCGGGCGGGACTCTGTTATCCCCCGTCTGATTTCTTGTTAGAATTTCTTGAATCTTATCAGATTCAAGTTCATCATCTTACCCCAAATGGGGTTCTTTTTCTATCTGCCTTCACACATTTTTGTGAAGTTTTTCTTGGAATTCCACCTTGTCTTCTTCTTTTCCGCTACTTCTTCCGCATGCGGCTCTCTAATTCTAAGAATCCTCCT